TCATGAACCCAGCCAGGGAACATCATCAATGCTAGAAGGGAGAGGGGTTTGCAGGGAGGAGGTGGGAGAGGGAGAGGAGGGGAGGAGGAAGAGGAGGGAGAGGAGGAGAAGGTAGGAGGAAGGGGAGGAAGGACTGTAGTGTCCTTAGTGCTCTCTGAGCTGGATGGTTTTCTGGCAGACGTTTCATTATCCAGCCAGGGAACATCATCAATGCTAGAAGGGAGAGGGGTTTGCAGGGAGGAGGAGGAGGAGGAAAGGGGTACTGAAGTGGTACCCTTGGTGCTCTCTGATCTGGTTTTCTTGCAGACTTTTGATGGCGCAACTAGAGAACAACATCATCAGGGTTAGAAGAGAGAAGGGTTTGTGGAGAGGAGGACGTGAAGGAGGAGGAGGAGGAAGAGGGAGAGGAGGAGAAGATAGGGGGAAGAGGAGGAAGGACTCTGGGGTCCTTGATGCTCTCTGAGCTGGGTGGTTTTCTTGCAGACATTTCAAGACCCAACTAGATAACAACATCAGTGCTAGAAGGGAGTGGGGTGTGTGGAGAGGAGGAGGAGGAGGAGGAGGGAGAGGAAGACGATGACTGTGGGGTCCTTGGTTCTCTCTGAGCTGGGTGGTTTTCTCGAAGACGTTTCAAGACCCAACTAGGGAACATCATCAGTGCTAGAAGGGAGTAGGGGTTGTGGAGAGGAGGAAGAGGAGGAGGAAGAGGAAGGGGAAAAGGAGGAGAATCAGGAAGAGGAGGAGGAAGCACTGTGGGGTCCTTGGTGCTCCCCGAGCTTAGTGGTTTTCTTACAGACGTTTCATGACCCAACTAGGGAACGTCATCAGTGCTAGAGGGAGTGGGGTGTGTAGAGTGTAGGACAAGGGTGGCCATTTTTCATACTGATGACGGTGGAGGAGAAGGAACAGGGGAGGCGGAAGATAAAGTCCTTGGTGCTCTCTGGGCTTAGTTGTTTTCTTGCAGACCTTTGGTGACCCAACTAGGGAACATCATCAGTGCCAGGCGATTGAGGATAGAGGGCGATTGGGGGTGGGGAGAGGGTGGGGGGAGATGTGGATGCAATGAAAACATCACGTAAACACGACAGCCATGCTAAACGCTTGGCACCGACTTGGTCCCCGGCGCACCTGACTGCCACCCTCCAAAATAAACCCATGCCAAGGGAAGGAAAGCGGGATGAACCGTCTCCTCTCTTATTCCCACGAAGGTCACCGCTGGCTTTCTCGGAATACAAAAATAGCAGGTGACCTCAAACGGGGTAAAGCTTTCCCTGAAGGTGGGAGTGGGGGGGGGGGGGGGGGGGGGGGGGACTGTCCCGGAAAAGGAGAAGGGGCGGAGGAGACGGTAAAAGCTGTTTTGATCCGCCAGTGGCCAGTGGAGTTGGCAGCAGAATCAGAGAGTGAGGAGGGTTGGGGA